AACGGGTCTTAGTTTGGATCGGAACGTTGCAATAAACATTTTACAACTCAGTGTACGCCTCCATTCTCCTATGAAATATGCAAACTGAGCTGCAAACATTCTCACTTGTGGAACCATCATTCTGTCGCAGTGCGCTTAGCTTGGTGAGACATTGGGAAAGCTATTCCAAACCTTCTTGTGCTGTGCGTGAACAATTGTTCTTCCTCCATCAGTGCCAACATAACAACACAGTCCCAGAAAGCACAAAGTATAAACCCACCCGTCCACTCCGAAGTTGCTAGAATGATCGCATTTGCCTACTGCAGACGAGTGCACCGCGAACTGATCAATGACACCCACCGACAAAAATCCGTATGCGACAACCAATGTGAACACTTCGGGGACGAAGCAAATAAATTGCTGGACACCGATAGGATCGAACGAATAAGGAATGTCATAGACGAGACGTCAACCGCAAACGTTTGAAAACCCCCATTGAAACGAAACAGAGGCTTGACAACTTAAACGCAACACGTTCAGGATATTCAGAGTAGATTCACAACTTCTCCAAACACCAACTCACAACCACAGAATCGGCAGTTCTCATGAAAGGCATGAAATTCAACCACTCCAATGCCAAGCCGACCGACTTCATCGCCTCCGTGGAGAACGGACTAAACTGCTCGTTACCCGAAGACAAAAGAGAAGAAATTAGGATCCAAATATGCCAACAGCTCAACCAGCAGAAACAGTCGCAGTTGATTCCTGATGCCAAACTGAAAGCGTTGAAATCGATGAAAAATGATTCCGACATCATTCTTCCGATCGATAAAACCAATGCAATCGCACTGTTGGACAAAACAGAATACACAAAAAGATAAAACGACTTATCGAAGACAAAGAAACTCATCAACCGGTCAACTGGAATCCCTTAAAGCAGCTGAGGAATCAACTAACTAAATCCATTTCCATTTTCGAGAAAAACAAAAAAACTAACAAATGACGAGTATAGACGAGTCAAACCCACAGAAGGTCCGACACCACGGTTCTATGGATTACCGAAAGTGCACAAACCCCATGTACCACTACGACCCATTGTCGTATCCACCCAACTTCAGTCTCGCAAGGTACCTCTTCAAGCTACAACGCCCATCCCTACCTGCGAACCAAAATGATGCGAAAAGTCCCGCGGCATTCCTGGAACGCATCAAAGGACTAACGATCGAACCAGACGAAGTGATGGTCTCTTTCGTTGTGACCTCACTGTTCACCAGCATACCGAAGCAAATGGCCATTGAAAGTATCCGATACTTGTTGCAAAACGACCAAAATTCACAATTAAGTACGAAACTTTACGTGGATGGAACTCGTAGAACTCTGTATGGAAACCTATTTTCGCTTCGACGGTAAGGTATACCAGCAGATGCGAGGAACTCCAATGGGTTCGTCACTCTCAGGACTGCTTGTGGATGCGGTTGTGAAACACTTCGAAGCCAAAGCCTTTGAAATTCTACAACCTCATATGTGGATACGGTATGTGGATGATACACTCAGAGCCTCCGCGGTAGATCAGTTCCACCAAATGATCAACGAGCAGGTGCCCGATATCAACTTCACACGAGAGGAAGAAAACGGTGGACAACTCTCCTTCCTCAACTTTCTCCTCATGAGGCACCGTGACGGAAGAATCCAAACCACGGTCTACCGAAAACCGACCACGATGGAATGCATCCTTAATTACAACAGCAATCACCCTTTGTGCCACCTAAAGAGTTGTGTGCGAACTCTATTCCGCCGAGCAAACACTGTAGCACACCTGAGCTAAGGAAAAGAAAAAAAAATCGACTCTTTCAACTGTTCCTGTCAAACGCATATCCCAGGAGTTTTATCAAAGCGCTCCTCAGAGGTAAGAAACAAACAACAGATACAAAAGAAGGAACTTGAATAACGCTACCTTACATACGTGGCACGTCAGAAGCCACCAAACGAATATTCCGACCGTTGGGAATCAAGATCGCCCATAAACCGGCAGCAACTGTTCGATCGTCTCTTTTCAACGGCAAGGATCGAGTCGAACAGCACGAACGATCAGGAGTAATCTACACAATCTCGTACCTGGGCTGCAATCAACACTACGTAGGTGAAACAGGCGAACAACTACACACTCGCCTACAGGAACACAAGCTTGCCCTTCGACGCGCTGACTCGAGGTCACAAATCTGGAATCACTGCGCACGGGCAGGTCACGAGCTCGCAATCGATGGCACAAACTTTGTGGCGCGAGCTAAGAAGAAGGGACGATTAATCCTCGAGGTTCTGCACTCGGCCAGTTCGTTCAACCAACACGTCGAGATACACAAACATTACGTCACACTCGCGAAACCCGTGGCGATTGGTGGACTGATAGACGTACAAGCGGCACACAGGCGCACGGAACTACGGTAATCCCATTATCTCATTCATCTCATTTACGTTTAGCAACGAGTCCTGGTTTGGATCGAAACGTTACAATAAACATTTTACAACTCAGTGTACGCCTCCATTCT